TTAGATCGAGTCTCTTTGCCTCGGAACAATTATTCTAATGAATACTCTATATCACTGAGAAATAAATACCCAAAGAGTGAGTTGGGTTTAACGCTGCTGTTTACAGTACACTTAGATCTGTGAGTGCCATTTGAACGGGACTGTGGGTAGCCTAGTGGTTAAAGCGCTAGCGTGTCACTCCGAAGACCGGGGCTCGATTCCCCACATAGGTACGATGTGTGAAGCCTATTTCTGGTGTCCCCCGCCATGATATTGCTGGAATATTGCTGAAAATGGCTTAAACCTATACTCAGTCACGCTCTCATTTGAACGTGTGAGGAATGCCGTGGTGTTGGAGGATTTCTAAAGGCTACTGTCAGTTTGGTGAAAACCATGAGTACGAGGCTGACAAACCTAGGCACATAAAAAATTAATCGGCCGGACCTGGATTTGAACCACAGGAACCCGTTATCGGCATGTAGGTTAAACATAGACCATAGATCTACACGCACGTCACATATATAAACATAGATCTACACGCACGTCACATATATAAATAGATTACATCGCGGCGCAGATTAAACAGATGAACCACAGATGTATCTGATATATATCTATGTTATCAGGCGACCCGTGAAGATCCTGGTTAGAATTGGTCTTCAGTAACCTATATGCTTGTCGTAAGAGGCGACTAACGGGATCGGGTGGTCAGGCTCGCTGACTTGGTTGTCACACGTCATCGTATCCCAGTTGCGTAAACCGATGCTCATGCTGTTGATCACGGGATTGTCTGGTCCAAACTCGATTATTTACAGACCGCCGCCATATAGCTGGAATATTGCTGAGTGCGGTGTTAAACAACAAACCAACTATACCACATGCCGCCTGACAATGAAGTAACCTTTCACGAAATTCCATATTTTCAACATGGTGAAGATATTCAACCAGATATGACAACTCTCATTTCTTGTCATGGACATATGTCAACCACAAGTTTAATTTGATCAGGACCTAGTTACAACACAGAGTCAACTAATTTGGGGGAAAACGATATGTTCCCCACAGTTTACTCAGAGGCAAGAGGGGCGGTGGGGTAGCCTAGTGGTTAAAGCGTTGGCTCGTCACGCCGAAGACCCGGGTTCGAATGCCCACATGGGTACAATGTGTGAAGCCCATTTCTGGTGTCCCCCGCCGTGATGTTGCTGGAATATTGCTAAAAGCGGCGTAAATCCAAACTCAGTCAGTCAGTCAGAGGCAAGAGAGTGGGTGACTTAACGAACACATTAACACTTCTTTACACAAAGCTGAAAAATATATTCCTTTTCGGGGAGATTGTCCATAATTCGTCGTAGGTCGATTGTTAATTTCAGAATACTTCATAAATATCGGCAAAATATCCCATATGTGTTTCTCAATAGGACAGCTGTTTGCTATGAATTGCAGCTGTTTGTCTTTTGAAAGAATTGTATTTCCATCCACCTTTGTCATGATCTTCCAAACCTTTATAAACTTCATAGTCTGTATATCAAGGATTAGTAGTAAGTCTGTAGGTCACCTGAGAAATGTATTAAATGCATATTAAATTAGTTGGAAATATTATTGCATGGGTAGTATACTTTTGAAAGGACCTGTGCGATATATAAAAAAGGTAATCGTGCCTCAGTGAGTGAGTGAGTGAGTAAGTTGGGGTTTTACGCCACTTTTAGTAATATTCCAGCAACATCACGGCGGGGGACATCAGAAATGGACTTCACACAATGTACCCATGTGGGGAATCGAACCGGGGTCTTCGGAGTGACAAACAAACGTTTTAACCACTGGGCTACCTCACCGCCATTTTCTGTGTACAACGCTTAGCGAATGCTTTAACCACGAGACTACCCGGCCGCCCTCGTGCTTCAGGTAAAGTGATGTAAACGTTATGTGTTGGGAATAACATGGTAATATTAGGTCGAAGTCTGACTTGGGGAGTGAGTGAGTAAAGTTTTATGCTGCTTTTAGCAATTTAGCAATATCCCTGCAATATCAAGAAGGGAGCACACAGAAGAGGGCTTCACATTTTACCCAAGGGAACTCGAACCCGGGTCTTCGGCGTAGAGAGCGAACGCTTAACCACTAGGCGACCCGAGAGACCCGGGTTAGAATAGGTCTTCAGTAACCCATGCTTGTCGTAAGAGGCAACTAACAGTATCGGGTGGTCAGGGTCTCTGACTTGTTTGACACACGTCATCGTATCCCACTTGCGTAGGTCGATGCTCGTGCTGTTGATCACTGGATCGTCTGGTTCAAAGTCGATTATTTACAGACCGCCGCCATATAGCTGGAATATTGCTGAGTGCGGCGTAAAACAACAAACCAACCAGAGTCAACTGGATCAATTGTGGCTACACCTACACGTGTATTTCAATAATACGAAGATTTACATATTTCGCAATTTATCGTCACCTGGATCAACTTGACATATAAGGTCTCGTTATAACAATGCGTGATTATTCGAACGTAATACGATATAACTACAATGTGTATTAGCGGTAATGTTGGGGATTAAGCAAACATTCAAGCGGTAGCCATGGTGTCAACAATGATATTGTCTGTGAAGTAATTATCTGGCTACCACCATTAACCGTTATGCAATTGGAAGGGATTCACACTATCAAACAGTAAACCTGAAAGATCTGTGGGCACCCCTTAATACATTACTAGAACAAAAAGTGGTCTATAGCACAAACTGTAAATATTTACTTGAATAAATATTTGCGTGTTGGTTGGTTTTTTTAATTTGGAGCTTATAGCCCGTGTTTGAAATTGATGAGAGTGAGTGAGTGAGGTTTTACGCCGCTTTAGCAATACAGTGTTTTCCAGCAATATCACGGCGGGGGACACCAGAAATGTAAATTGATGATAATATTTGTATAGTCCATATTTCAGCTTGTAAATGATATTGTTAAATCACCTGTTGTAAATTGTAAATAATAAAAATATTTATAATATAATATATATTTAATATATAATCTATATTTAAAAACTTGCTTACGAGTTTGACTTTGTGTTTATAACGGACATGTATAAGTGTGAACTTGGTCTCGTCGCTGCATGGCTGAAATATAGCTGATGTGACTATGCATTTTATCTCACTCATTAACCATTAAACTCACACTAGATGCTTCTATATTCTTCTTATAGACGTGAAATTCGTGAATCCACACATGTTATATTGTGACACATTCCATCTTTGACATTATGGGCAATATAAATATTCTTGTTACATAATTACCATTACAGCAAACCATATACTCCCGTCTGTAGTTCAACAGGACCCCTGCTGGGCTCGAGACGTAATGTTTGTTTTCTATGATAGGCTTGCCTGCCCAAATTACATCACTTAATACCAACATCAGTAAACCTAAAATAAAGTAGACCTATCAAAGAGCTTGTTTCAGTGTGTCGTTTCGATAGTATATATTACTTTGTATTTATGCACAAAATGATTCATTACTTCACAGTAACCTTTTGAACAGAACAGAATTTTATTTCAGTAACAGGCCTCCGGCCCAAAATACATGTACATAAATTGATGATAAGTAGAGCACATGTATATTTCATTTAGATTTGTGTTTCTTGTCAACAAAGTATTAAAATAGACATACATCCTTGATAATATTAACATGTTTACTCTGTAGTATTGATATAAAATTAATAATTGATGGACATTTACTAAAATATTTTGATATGTACTTATTTCTGCATCACAGATATAAAACACATGCCCAAATTACATCACTTAATACCAACATCAGTAAACCTAAAATAAAGTAGACCTATCAAAGAGCTTGTTTCAGTGCGTCGTTTCGATAGTATATATTACTTTGTATCTATGCACAAAATGATTGATTACTTCACAGTAACCTTTTGAAGTCATGTCATTTGTTTGAAACGTATGGATTTCCTGGTTTAGTCACTAATGGCTGCAGGGTCGCTGGTGCAGCTGACCTATAGCTACTCAAAATAATTCAAGAGAAATCGCCGACGTGGACAAATTCTCCTTACAAGTAGGTGAATGACACGGTGTATAATGCTTAACTGCCCTAGGGTTCACTACACTGGCAGTAGATTATTGTGGCTGATTGCCATCTGTGAACACTGGTGATTGGTATTGTTCAACATTACGTCAAAATACCTGTCAACGATTTATGCACAATCTGATCGATGGAGCGTAGCATTGGGTATAATTATTACACTTCAAAACCGTATTGATGTTGATTGTATAGGTCGAAATATATTAAAGTGGGTTTTCAAAATATGAAATAATTTCTCATTCAGAGTTTAGTTTCATGACGCAATCAGTATCGTACCTTGGCTATGAATCCAAACCAATTTGTCTGTCTTCTTTCTTTCTTTCTTACTTTCTTTCTTGTGTGTGCGTTCTTTGGTTTGTGACTGTTAAATTGGCGGAGGGTAGGATCTTACTAGACACACACCCACACCCACACAACAATTTGACACACACCCCAACCCCCAATTTTAATTAAAAATAAAAATAAATAATAAATAATAAAAATAAATAAATAAAAAATAAATAAATTTTTTAAAAACCAAAACAATATGTGCATTGTACATTGTATAGGTTTCTCTAATCATTTGGGGGTGGAAATGTAAATATATCTTGGCCTGATCTGTGTTCTTAAAAGATCTGAATCTAAAATCTAACCAATGCGTTTAAAATCAGTGTTGACTTTTCATATTGTCGGTGTAAAAATTACTTTTTATTTCGATGTGTTAGTTTTCAGATCGTTCGAAATTCTCATGTTGTATCTGCATACCCAACAAATAAAAACATGTAGCTCCACGTTCTAAGTTTCATGTTTTCCATTAGTTTGTTTTAACGCTTTTTTGTATTAAACGTGTTCACAATCGTCTGCTCTGATTAAGGGGAGATAATGTTAGTAAACCGGATGTTATTGTCGCGTGATGCCACGTTGGGACATGACGTCATGAATATCAATATGCCTATCCCCCTCTAGAGCCAATTGAGAATCGGAAGAAGGAAGCCATCTTTATTCGCAGGCGTATATGTCTGCCAACGTCGAAGCTGTGCAATAGCCCATATTACACCTTTTGTTGATCATAGACTTTTAATTTGTGATTTCTGTATATAGGAATATGTCAACTATGAATCCTGAGTAGTAAGTATTTGATATGAAGGTATAATTAGATGAAATCGTTGGCATGTGGAACAAAATGTCTGTCATGCGCTGCAGGTTTGTGATGTCAGCAGCTGATAATACGCCCTTTTGTTTGTTATTTTACGTATTTGACCCATCTGGACATTGATATTTCTTTTCTTCCAGAAGTTATGTTGAATATTTTGGTATGTTGATACTTTGATTTTCTCATGGATCTTTTATATAACTGGGTGTGTTACGTCCGTTGACTGTATCAAAGGCCAATGGCTATCCTGTTCACATGACACGTTACTGAAATGAATCATTGCGCATATAATTTCAGGTTTTCGTCCTTAAATTCCCCCTATCTAAACCATTGTTTGCTTCCACACGTTTTGGCTAAAGTTGACATGTTATTTGTAAGATGTGTTTGATATTTCTATTGTTGACTATGTTGTCAATGCTGTTCAGAACACAATATATACCATTTTCCTTTTTAGCAAGGACAATCAGAATTGCCTAATATTGATATTTCTTTGTTAGATAGTATAATAATTGGGCCAATTGATCAGATTTATGAATTATGTTTCATCTAATTTGGAAATGTAGTCTAAAGTACTATACATATACTATCTGCATCAGCCATGAATGGAGTTAATGGGAATGTTGTGTTTTGAAATTACATCAAGTTAATATAGAATGAACTGTACTGTACCATTTTCTATCCATGTTTTGTGATGTTGGAAGCACTCGGGCATTAACAACTGCATCTTTAGTGGCAGAGGATCTGGATCATCTGCAGAATTTGGTCCCAGTTGGTTCAACCATTTGGGATGTTGCTATCTTTAGCAGCATCCACATAAATAAGGGAGCATACAGAAACATGCCCAAATAATTTTAAAGCCATACACATGTCCAAGCTGAAATGAGATTGGGAAATATGTTCTGAAATATGTTGGGAGTTTTATAATGGGAACTGAACTTGTGGTCTTGGTTGTTTTGGTGCATTAGTATGTATGACTCACTCAAAGTTCACATGACTTTTCCATACGCGGATGTATTGTATGGTTCTAAACTTTAAAAAGAAGAAAAATTGCCGCACCAACTGATAACGGAGGATCTTTCCCTGCAGATCTAAGGACATTACCTTTATGGTGATGCATTTGACAGAAGCAAACATGTTGGATTTGTTGATTACTGCTGTGAATTGGCAAATTGTATTGCAATATATTGCGATACTGGTGTCCGTATTGCGTTATGTGTTGCGATATATTGAGAGCTGAAGTGTTTCACTGTTTATCAGTGAGTGATACTGATTGTTCATGCATATTCTTTTTCTACATACTAAGGCCCTAAAACAAATGATATGGTTTTAATAACACCTATCTTAAAAATAGGTGGAGTAGTTAGCAATTATTTCTTTTATACAATTCATTGTATGTAAGGTATGCAGTTTTGTCCATCAATTATGAAGGGAAACATAAGTGAATGAAACCTGAGAGATTTTGGCAAAACTTTTTATTATTACCCAATATACTAGTCCCTGGGGAAAAATTGTATGATGAAAGGCATAGTTTGGTAACTGGTAATACTGTGCAGTCCTATTTTTATTCTTGTTTTGCCATAAGCTACAGTAATAGCATGTTTTCGGTTGACGTAGAAGGTCATATTATATTACATTATCACAATTCTTTTCACAGCATTTGAAGTCTGTGCCCGTGTTTTATTGACTAAACTTGCCCAAGCCTATATTGGAGGATTTTATTAAAAAGGGAATGAGGGATCCTGAGCCTCCATCCCTCTTTTCGCCTTTCTTTTCCTTTTTAAAATAAAGGGGTTCCTCCCCTTTTAACCTTCCAGTGTTTCAATCATGACACCTGGGAAATCCTCCCGCCCTGACTGCAAATGGAGTGTACATGTTCAAAACATTTGTTCGATATGTTAACTTCATTCAAAGTCCATTCATGTACATACGTTAAACCCATTTAACCAGTTGTTTAGGTTGCCACCGAGCAGTCACCAGTGCGGAGATTGTGCAGAGTACATTTCCACTAAATATGAAAGTAATCTTGAAATCTACAACCAGGTAGTCTTGTTTCTTGAGGCTTAAACCATGGTAATGGGGCTCTTTCTCTTGTTGATTGTGCATCATACAGAAATGGCTAGATCCACCCTGATAATGTTTTGGTTGTTTCCACCATACCTTCACTTGTAGATTCCACATTGAATAATTATTGGGTGGGAACGTTAATCTGTCTTTAACATTTCAGTCTGAGTCCAGTGGTATTTTTGTTGTAGTAAAATCTGCTTATTGCAGAAGTATCCTAAGCCTTAACAGTAACTCAATTAAAATAATGCCAACAAACAAGTTAGGGCTTGTAGGGTCAAAAGGTAGACGGAACTCTGCCGTCCGCCAAGGGATCATGGACTTAATGTGTTCTATATTTGCTGTCCAGCTTTTGACTCCTATTCAGGCATAAACGACTTACAAGTTTATGTTATGTTTATTGCACTTATTTCAATAGATGGAAGTTAAGGTATCTGGTAATGTTTTCTGTCAAGTTTTAAATTTGTGTGGTTAGATATTCTGTTTTTACGTAGTTCATGTGTAAGTTTCATTAATAGAATAGTTCTTATGTTAACCAGAATACACTTTATACCTAAATCTGTTCTCTCTGAACCAACAGTTTGCAATCATTCTTAGTATGTTTAAAGCAACTACTAGAGAGATGCAACAACTGTGTAGTAGACAGAAAAGCAGTGGTGTAGCCCGGTGGTTAAAGTTTGCTTGTCATGCCGAAGACCTAGGTTTGATTCCCCGCATTGGTACAATGCCATGGTATTGCTAGAATATTGCTAAAAGCAGCGTAAAACTTAACTAACTAATTAACTCATTCACTGGTAGAGAGAAATGTTTGCTTGGCTTTTAACAGGTATACCAGCTGAAAAAGATCCTGTGAAGTGTGTACCTTAAAAATATTTTCACCATGTGAATCCTTCAAAGGTTATGGGGAGAATATAAACTTGTTAAATTGTAAAATACAGTACATCATGCTGTTGAAACATAATGCCTAACATTAAAAAACTTACGGTTCTGATTACCTGACCAACCCTATAAAATGCTTCTGTGCATTATCAGTGTTAATCTTTATTCACTGTTGATTAACTCAACTGACATTTGATGTTTTAGCGATCAGTATTTTCCCTGATTGCTGTAAAACTCCTGTAACCACACTTTACATCTCTATCAATGAACATTTTGATAGTTCCAAATCTGCTCTTCATGCAGTACAAGCTTGCTATTCTTGGCAGCATCATGTCAGAGTACATTTCCATTTTTGCACAGCTGAAAAACGATGATGGTAACATTGGAACTAATAATATTTATCATGGATGCGATTAAGAACTGATGAGTGCAAAGGAAAATAGGGAGATTGAAAGTATATCCAAGTTTTTTCTTGTTGAAAGATGATTTAAATATTGAATGGTTTCATGTTAAAAATGAGATCTCCATGCTATGACTTTCACCTAATTTTCTGCATAACTTGCTCATATCAGACAGACTTCATAGATAGTACTTCAGATTTAGAAAGGAAAGGCTGGCTATTCATTATCTATTTTTGAGAAATTTGTCCAGGTAGTACGAAAGATTAGAAAAAGAGCTGTTTAAAAATAGTTTCTAATTTATTGGGTTACTTACAATATTTGCTTGACATTTTGATTCTACCATTGGCTGATAAGGCATAAGAACAACTGAGTCAAACAATTATTTTGAGACTTGCAGTTCCAAAGAATAGTTTTAAGAGGTTAAAATTTTGAATGTACAATATACAATGCAAATTTATGGAATGCAATCACAATTATGAAAACCCCACAAAATTCTTAAGTGCAATTTTTCTTAATTCAAGTTCTGTCACTGGAGGTGACAACTAAGTACCTCATACAACTAAGTACCTCACTTGTCTCTCTTTGTAAACAAGTTTCTCTTTTGTAACTGGACTTTGTTCTCAGAATGTCAAAAACGATACAACAGTTAATGTTAGGGTTGAACTGGGCAGGGCATTCAGTTTTACGATATTTGTTTTGGACTATAAGTGGAGGATGTCTGAAACATTTCATAATACCTACCTACCTATGTTAATTTACATACAGACAACATCCGCGGTGTAGTGGTTAGAGCGTCCGCCCGGAGAGCGGAAAGTCGCGGGTTTAATCCCCGACCGCGTCAAACCAAAAGACGTTAAAATATGGTATTGTTGGTCCCTGCCTGGCGCTTGGCATTTATTGGTACAAGGACTGTTAGGCTCGGAGTCAGTATACTATGTCTGAGTGGGGTATTCATGCTTCACTGCGGCATGGTATCTCAGTAGGCTAGCACTATAAAACCAGCTTAAGTCTGGGCTAGTACAAGCAGCCGCATATACACATACACACGCATGCACGTCATCATATGAGCGAAATATTCTCAAGTACGACGTTAAACCCCATTTCACCTCACCTAATTTACATACATATGTCCAGGATTTGTCAATCATGCGTTATCACATGTGCAAACATGTTGTACAGCACAGTGATTGAGTTTGTCATCCTTTGGATTGATCCATGGATGGCACATCATTTACTTCAGGACAGTTTACACTTTTACAGCACCAAGTTGCACATGGTTTTTGCCGACTTCAGTCCAACTGATGTTGATCCTGCTGCTACAGGCCTTGGTCCACATCTGGAATATTACATAACAAGCCTAAACTACCCTGTGTCAAGTGTGGCGATGCTTGTCAAGCATGTGACAATGGTCATCATGACCAATATTGCCCTGTAAACTAGCAGGTGACCCCATGGCGTGTTCAGCATCAGATGACCTTTACAGAGGCTTGGTTGACAGTGTCATGATGAATATAATCTTCTGTGGCAAATTTATCTTTTGTTAGCATTTTTTAATTAATTAAAAATATTGACATGATGCACTCGAACATTTTTGGCTTGTGTATGGTCACATGGATGTAATAACACTTTCTTTGAAATTGTCTTGTATGGAACAAATTATTTCACAATCAGGCACTTCTTTCCTTGGCAGCTTTATCAACAGTTAGGTTGTTGCAGTTAATCTTTCCTATTGTAAACTTGACAAATCAGCTGTGAATTGAAAACTGATTATTATAATCATGTCACATTAAAGTCACTGTTTCCTGTGCAGAAGCTCATTACATCGATCTAATCGGGGATAAAATAAACCTCTCATAATGTTTTTTCCTTACCTAGTTGCAGTGATATGTGAGTGTCAGTCAGTTTTTCTGGGCTGGAAAGAACATTTCAAACACTGCTGGTTGAAATGTAGAAATGAGAAAATATCTACTTACTGCTCTGGCGGTGAATCAAGTTTAACAGTTTGTTTATAATACCTGTGCCACTTCGTATCATGTGACCTTTTCTAGTATTTATAGACACACACTCACTTCCTGTTGCCCTGCACTCATCATAAGTTCCATGTCACAGCTTACAACATGGTTGGTAAATGGTATATATAATACTCAAGGATCTGGTATATTGGTATATTGAAAGGAAGTCTTGCTTGTGTCTGCCATCTGTCTGTTAGTGGGGCTCAAGATGTCGAAATACAGGAAAAGTACAGAACGTTATGTTGGAGACATTGATGACATTAACTGGGATCAGTGAGTTATTCATATTTGTTCATATTTGTTCACATTTGTCAGGTTCAAAATTACAAAGGATGATTACACAGATTAGTATCATTTATTGATGTAAGTTCAACCTGTGTGTTATTGTATGAGTAACCTACAGCTTTGTTGACCAGGCCCACATGCTCCATATTATTTATAGGAGGCTTTGTCACCAGGGACATTCACAGGTGGACTATTTATAGGACTTGTATGCTATGATCTAGAGCACAGCTTCATTCATTTCCTTCTGTAAGAAACACAGAAAGGAAGACCTTTGACTGACATGATGGGAAACAGCATTGGACGTATTGACTTAGATGACTTAGATGACTATCCTTGGTTTGATGGGTAATTGTTTTGATCATGTGTAGAAGTCTTAGATTTAACATGGGCTTCTATGTTGATAACTTCTATTACTGTGTCATTTGGCACATCCGTGGTAATAGCGACCTCTGTAAAGATTCCATAACCAGTACCTTATGCTTACTTGCATTTGTATTGAGGCACGTTTAGCCGGGTGAGTGGTCTGGGGGATTGGTGGCAGTACTGGTTTACTTAGATTATTATCCATTTTGATGAAACGGGTTCTATTTACCTCAAGTATTTTGTTAGATATTGCCTGACAGTTTCAAGTACTATTGATTTCTTGGTACGGTTGTCTAGACAACATTGATATTGACGAGAAAATGAAGTGGTTTAGAGATAAATGTTTTTAGCACTGAAGAACCCTCAGTTGGCTCTTTGCCAAGCTTGCTCATTGGGGTATGTGCTATATATAGAAATGACTAGTGCCAGGTCATACCTGACATGTGGCGATTTAAAGTTGGCAGTGAGTTTATTTTCTGAAATTATCAGTTGGAATCATTCAAGAGATCAACAAGAAGTTGATGGGATTAGGTTTTTACCATTTCTGTCAGAATGAGTCTTCCTGTCAAGTTACAATCAACAAACCAATCATCTGGCTCTTGTTGTGGAAACAAGCAAAATCCTTGCTACCGTTCTTATGAACATGGATATTCACCCAGGAATATGTATATCTCTGATTAGTGAGTTTAAATTGTATTATTTACCAATAATATGAGCTTGCATTAATTGCGACAGGATTCAAGTTCAACATGTTAACATAGGATTTTCTTCAAGAATCCTCTAACATTCTTAAAAATATAGGTTAACTGAGAAATGTTTCACATGATTTAGTTTATGGCAATTAAGTTTGTTGTACATCGATATACTTCTCCTTAAGTGCTCATTCAGGATCATTAAGATAGTGTTACAGCTATTCAGAGGTACAGCTGTATAAAGTTCTGTCTAATATTTGCAAAGAGTTGCAGGCTCATGTCTTTTGATAGATATTTTAGTACCTTGAGTTCATGTCACCTTTTTTAGAGCAGTAATATTGAAAGTACCAGCTGGGTCATGATAACATTTCAACAATTTGATTAATTTGGTATTGATCCTAAGAAGCAAGAGCTGCTACTAATTGAAAACTGGGTTTTTATCCTGCTGACATCACATTCTATTGCATGCTGAACTTGAGTATGCCCGAAAACAGCGATTAACGCTCTGTAAAAGGGAACCATGACACATTTGTTCAGTTTTCAACTTGGTTTATTTATTATGGCTGTTCTTCCATATAGTGTGCTGATTGATTTTCAGTCAGTCAGTCCAGTATTATTGAATATGGCTGACCTAGGCACTTTATCAAACACTTCATCATTTCAGTGACTACCTGTTCAAACTCCTGTTGATAGGCGACTCTGGTGTAGGAAAGTCCTGTCTACTCCTGAGGTTTGCTGTAAGTATTATATGCTGGTTCTCTTTTTTTGTTGTGGCTTGTTAGCCATGAAGCCAAATATTTACGTTTTCTTTGTGTTATTTCTTAATTCAGAATTCAAGGTCAAGCTCATTTCAAGAAATGCTCAGTAATGCTAACAATTATCTAGAGCCCTGATAATCTGGAGACCGTTAATTTTGAAATAATGTAAATAAAGAGAAAATTCATTTTTGTGATATCCTGTTTTTTGTCTTTCAGGATGATACATACACAGAAAGCTACATCAGTACAATTGGTGTGGATTTCGTAAGTTTCTTTTCTTCATTGTAACATGAATTTTAAGAACAGAAATATTACTTCATATATTAATACTGCATAGACAAATAGACAGGTGTTTGCTTTGTTGAGTGCACCATTGGACCCCAACTGATTGGATCAATGCAAGCTTACTCTACATGTTTACCTGCCTTGTCCACTGTTAGGTTACATACTGCTATGAAATTGATGGATGCGCATTGGATAAATTGGATTTAGCCTCTTCTTTCTTTGTTTAATACATTGTTTCATTTTCTTTTCTTCAGAAAATCAGAACAATAGAATTGGATGGGAAAACAATCAAACTGCAGATAGTAAGTATTGGTAGCAATCTATGCTAAAATTATACAGAATATATAAACATGTTCTTTGATCATGTTTTTTTGCTAGTGATTGGAAAAGTTAGTTAACCTTAACTGTTTTGAATCCAGGAAAATGTCGAATGCATTGTGGACTTTGGAAACCATACAATCAGTGTGGTTTTCGTTAGTTTCTTATTTTTAAGATAATCAGTCACATTTAAAGGAAGGAAGTTTTACAGTATCTGAAATATTGTTATGTTGTGTCTCACTAAGATCTATGTATTGTGTTTTTCAGTGGGACACAGCTGGTCAAGAAAGATTCCGAACAATTACATCTAGTTACTACAGAGGTGCTCATGGTATCATCGTTGTTTATGATGTGACGGATCAGGTGAGACTATAATGGATTATTAATGTAATCATTTGATCCCTATAGGAATTATTGTTATTAAATCATTGAATTCAGGGGTATTTGTATATTGAATTCAGGGGTATTTGTATATTGACATGAGTGCAGTCATTTTGAACTGAATATTGAACCTTTTTTGTCAATTTTGGAATATTAACACTTTTTTTTTCTGTCCAGGACAATTTCCATTTCTGTTTTTAAGAAATAATAAGTACAAATATTTGTAATTTACTGTGGTTGTTGCTTTGTAGGAGTCATTCAACAATGTGAAGCAGTGGCTGCAGGAGATTGACAGGTATGCCAGTGAGAATGTCAACAAGCTGCTGGTCGGCAACAAATGTGACCTCACCACCAAGAAAGTCGTCGACTATACCACAGCCAAGGTAAGGAACAAATCATACCACAGTGACCCTTGGAATATTTTCATATTTCAACACCCCTCTCCCCAATTATGATCTGGTCTGTTTCCATGACACCTGTGTTTCACCATCCTGTGATCAAACAAATACTTTTCAAAACTCGGTCTCTCCATAGTCAGGCTGACCACCTCCGTGGTGTAGTGGTTAGAGTGTCTGCCTGGAGAGTGGAAGGTCGCAGGTTCAATCATACCAAAAGACATTAAAATATGGTCCCTGCCTGGCGCAGCATTAATGGGTACAACAAGGACTGGTTGGCTCGGAGTCATTATAATGTGTCTGAGTTCGGTATTCATGCTTAACTGTGGCATGGTATCTCAGTGAGCTAGCACTATAAAACCAGCTTAAGTCTGGGCTAGTACAAGCAGCCACACATACACACACATGCACATCGTCATATGAGCGAAATATTCTTAAGTAAGAGGGGCGGTGGGGGTATCCCAGTGGTTAAAGTGTTGGCTCGTCGCGCCGAAGATCCTGGTTTGATTCCCCACATGGGTATAATGTGTGAAGCCCATTTCTGGTGTCCCCTGCCATGATATTGCTGAAATATTGCTAAAAGCAGTGTTAAGCCATACTCACTTAAGTAAGACGTTAAACCCCATTTCACCTCCCCTTCAGGACAACAATTTGTGTAGATGCTGAATAAATTGTTTATGAGAGTATTTCCTCAATCCTAAGTATGATAGCTGAGTGGATGAGACTTTATAAACGTTTATATGATTTGACAGCTATAAATTTGAGTCAGCATCAATGGTTTACTTGTTAACTGTTGGTCCTCTACAACCCCGTCTTCTTCATTTCAGGAGTATGCAGATCAACTAGGAATACCTTTCCTAGAGACAAGTGCGAAAAATGCTACAAACGTTGAACAAGCATTTATGACGATGGCTGCAGAAATCAAGAATCGCATGGGTCCAGTGACGGCAGCCTCAGAAAATAAACCTAGTGTAAAAATTAATTCTAGCACCCCAGTCAAACAGGGCGGCGGGGGCTGCTGCTAAGGCTGCCAACATCTTATGTGGACTCCATTCTTTTATGTCAACTAAGGGATACCGACAATGGGGCAGACAGCATGAGGACAGAACTAGACACACACAGTTGCTCTAAGACATCAGCAGTTTGATCCTCATTTGATGTGGTGGGACATCTTGCTTGTCTTGGACAACCTGCAGTGGCAGTGACTGAATTGTTGTAAGGTATTTTGTCTACAAGATAATAGCTAAAAGATGTGTCATTGTAATATCATTATGTAAGAAAGAACACTGTCCTAATGACAGTATCTGATTTGATTTTATTGTTAAACTATTAGATTATTTATTCTCAGTCTCTTGTCAAATAATATATTTACTCTCTAAGGTCAATGGGATGAGTGCTGTTTTTCGCTCTAAGGGAGATAACTCATATTGGCATCTGTACCCATGCTAGCATCACCGGGAAGAGTGAGACAGATTAAGAAATTTTTATCATGCAAACTGCAAATAACTTGCACATTGTAATTGCACTCCTGTTTTCGTATACCAATGAATGAGTGGACATTTGTATTTATTTGGTTTCTTCACCTGTGATCGATAAATTTGCAGTTTGTAACCAAGTGCTCAATAAGAATTTTATATAAACAAGGCTTCAAGCCCTCCTCTCCCTACTGTTGCTAGCTTGGATCAAGTGTTAAGTGGTGTGATTATACTAAAGAAAATTGTGTAATTCTGAGTCCAATTTTTAAGGTAAATCCAGTCCCGTCATACTAAGCCAGCTGTGACTTGTCAACATTGAATGTGCTTGATGATTGTACATTTGTGGATTCATTTATTCTTTTCACCCACTGGGTTGGTATTGTATATTGATATATAATATTTGCAAATAGTGTTATGTAGAGGAGGAATATTAGATAATGCTTTTTCTTTGAACTTTGCCTGAAATATGCTCTTCATCAGTAAACACTTTTGACAATTTGAGAGAAGGCATTCCTGAAAGATTCACTGTAAAATGTGAGCCTGTGTTAATTGGTTTCGTACATTATTCCAGTGCTGGTTGTGTAGCTTTAGGTTCTTCAGTATGTTTCTACAGCATCTCCATTGTGCTGATTTCTGTGTTCATCTTTGTCGTCCATATCAGTGGTAACTGGAGAATGTGTGAGCAAGGTGTGATGGCATGACACGGTGACCTGACCTGACCTCGAATGGGAAAGGTGAAGGTCACCAGCCAAATGAATACATGCTGTATCCTATGGTTGTAGTATAATGTCCGAAAGACGAAAGAACGAGAGGTCTGTGCATCATCTCATTGTTGACCATCCAGCTACACATCCCCTTCCCCTCCATCATAATTTCTGCTAACTAAGATATATTTTTTAAACTTGTGTATGTTCTTGCTACTCCCCGCCCGAGCAAGCAGGCTATGTGTACAGCCTTCTGAGCTTACTTGATACCAGCACTGTACCATCTATCAACAATAAAACACTTGTAAATATCACAAACTTGACTTCAGTTGTTTTTAATGAACACTTTGTTTAACCGTTTTGGTATTTAGTTTTACAAATGTTTTAGTTTTGATAACTGAGGCTGGTTGTTTCAATTTACACAGATATGATGTATTTAAGTTGCAGGATGTGGATCGTTAACATCAGGGTTGTTTTTTAAGTCATCCTTCAGTCTAAGATTGCCTTGTTCCTTATGTACGTATTGATTGTAGGTAACTTTTGTTCCAATTATGGAACTACCATAATTACAGAATATGGTCACCCTCAGCCTCACCATATACTTTAATTATTGAGGAGTGGGACACTGTTTTATCATGGTAACCTCTATGGAAATAAATAACTTACTTCAAAGTAGGGATACAATTGGTCCCTGTATGAATTCTGCACATATAATTTGAGGTGCAATCCAGCTGTTAGTTGTTGATGCAGTCAGATTCTGTGTTATTTTGAGCCTTGAGGACATGTCTGTCTTATCCAGAGTGAATTTTCATCAGTGTAAAATTGATTTATATTTCTTACAAATGTGAGAAAATTTCAAACCAGCAACAGATTGTATACATATGTACACAGATTATTTCATGCAAAAGGACAAGTCTGCCTGGTTCACACTCATTGTTGCAGACCACTGTGGTATGGCTGAAGTGCAACCTACAGGCTTTAACCAGAATCCACTCAATAAAACTTTTGATATCCTGTGTGAAGTTTTGTGTGAGAACTTTTGGAGAGGGTAAGAAAACAACGTTTTTGGCAAGGTGGTTTCTTGTGAACACAGACAAACATTTCAGGCTGTGTAAATAATTAAATGCTTACGTTATTGATATCCCAGCTTCAGTTCTGTCATTGAGAACGTTTTGGAGAAAGTTTCAAGACATGGTTTTGGCAAGGTAGTTTCTTTTATACACAGATGAATATTTCAGGCTGTATAAGTAATTGAGAAAACATAACTTCATGGGTAACAACAACTGGTATGTTGCAGTTAGCAGCCTTCAAAGGAAAGTTACATGCTTATCAAGCCCGAGTGTGTGATTGTGGAAAGGTCCGTTTTATACTCGTTTTCAGTTGTGTTGCATGCAAATATATCATGTCTAACTATGAGCCTCACAGGAGGACCTTGTCTATAGTGGAATGCTGGCAATGACATCAACCACTCAACAAGCGAACAACGACCACGATGACCTCAGCTGTCACTTGACAGCATTTCCGTGGTCGTTGGACTTCCCTTTTATGTGTGATTGAATCAAGTGACATAGTTTGTTTTACGAAGCTATGCAGTCAATGTAGGCTCTGTTTCACAGTGTGCCGCTGGTAAGATAGAATCCTCGCGTGTAGCGTGGACATAAAACCTCTCACGCAAAGATATTTCATAGTTACTCTCTATTTCTCTATCACAACTATCTTGCCTTCCTCCACGAGAAGCCAACACGTATGGCATGACATAAACCGATTATTCAGCATTTTTACCAACCTCAGCATCAAGATCAACACGTGTATAAATAGAACGCCATTCATCGATCTATATTCCACGGACAGGCGTTAAGATCTTGTCAAGGGCACTGAGTCAAAACGGCCAAAATGGCAGGTGTGGGTCGTGTTCCAGAATCCGCCTCTTTCAGCTGTAAGTTGATACGTTTCGGCTTGTGTGCTTGAAATGTTTAGTTGACAGTACTTGACGTGTAATGAGGGGTATTTAGATGTCGCTTTGGACAGTGAATTGTGGCCAGCGATAGATTGACCTCATGAGGGCATTATGTATAGTGGATAAATACTAAATGTATTTGAGATTAGTAAACATACGGATTTATGTGGACATTGTGTTCGATAGATAATTTGCTGCAGATAAGCAGTGTACTGGGATCACTCACCTGCTGTCATTTTCGTAGCCTTGCTCAAAGGCTGTACCGAAAGCAAAGTCCATGGATGTATAATTGTTTTTAGTAATTCTAATTCTATAAGGAGGCAAGTCTAGATAAGCGCACAGCACTAAGGACGCTTGTCTGTTTTCATTTTATTTTTCAGAAATATTATTTTAAACTATTAATTATTTATATATAATACCTTTGAGACTTGTGCAAGTTTATCATTTTGGTTCACCATGTTTCATGACTAAGATGGTTGTCTTACCCATGGGTTTAGAAATTACCGATTTCATTAATATCAAAGGCAAATAAAATTCACGCTCATATATGTATTGTCATCCGGACAGTATTCGAATCTGATTGTGAGTGGAGTTGAGTTGGGCTTTAAGTCACATCGGTATTATTCCAGCCATATAGTGACGAGGTCAAGTCTGCATTCATAAACATTTTAGAATCTGATAGTGACGGAAGGTCGGAATGAATATTAAAGACCGTAATTTCATGATAGTTGAAGATTGATGACGTCATTTGACAAGTGAGTTTCTCTCTCTGTTGTTGTCTTGCTGAAAAGAAGGTCAGAACGATTAAGACAACAGAGAAATTATTACACGGGCTGGAGTATTATGCTGAATTTATTCAATATGAGAATTCATGATAGTATAAAGCGAATAGTGTACATACAATATGGAGTTATGTAGAAAACACATTTGACATTACCAGAACGTTGCAATAAAATATCTGTCGATCATCAGATGGAAGGTGTTTGATAACAACATATATCTCATTCCACAACCATTTTCCTTTTACCTTGATTGGCAACCGACGTCGCCTTCGAAGATGTTTAGATTTGACCAGTAAGCAAGCATCCATTTCACTGATGATCATGTAAGAAGTGATCAAAAAGAGAGAGATTTGCTATGTATATCTGGAAATGTAGTAAGTGAAATCTTGTACTTATCGATTTGTGTAGACGAAAAGGTTATTTTTTTACCGAATTGTTGCTATGGAATCACTCCACGTTGCTCGTCATGAGTCGTTAAATGAGGCCAAACCCTATTTTGACTCAAATACTTTCGAGTGAGTGAAATGGACTTCACACAGCTATGATACCACATCAGCAACATCACAGCGAGGCACGCAAGAGATGGGCTTCAAATGTTATACTGTACCGTGTGGAATCGACCAGAGGCGTAGGCGAGACCTAGCAGTCGCTTGAATCACTGGTCTAATCTTCAAAATTGACAAATTTTATGGATAAACAACTTCTTTATTACGACTTGTTATCCATAAAGTTTGTATACACCACACCATAATGCCTGTTGTATTCACGTCGTAGTGGTCGTTGTATACACACCATAATGCCTGTTGCATTCACGTCGTAGTGGTCGTATACACATCGTAGTGCCCGTTGCATACACACCATAATACCCGTTTCATACACATCGTAGTGCCCGTTCCATACACACCATAATACCCGTTTCATACACATCGTAGTGCTCGTTGCATACACACCATAATGGCCGTTGCATACGCACCGTAATGCCCGTTGCATACACACCATAATGCCCGCTGCATCATAATGGCCGTTGCAGACACACCATAATGCCCGTTGCATACACACTATAATGCCTGTTGTATAGACACCATAATGCACGTTGCATATACACCATAATGCCCGTTGCATACACACCGTAATGCCCGTTGCATACACACCATAATGCCCGCTGCATCATAATGGCCGTTGCAGACACACCGTAATGCCTGCTGCATGTACACCATAATGCCCGTTGCATACACACAATGCCTGTTGTATACACACCATAATGCACGTTGCATATACACCATAATGCCCGTTGCATACACACCATAATGCTCGTTGCATACACATCATAATGCTCGTTTCATACACACCATAATGCCCGTTTCATACACACCATAATGCCCGTTTCATACACACCATAATGGCCGTTGCATACACATCGTAGTGCCCGTTGCATACACACCATAATGCCCGTTGCATACACACTCTAATGCTCGTTGCATACTTAAAATAAAGGCCGTTGCACACACAAAATAATGCTCGTTGCATACACACCATAATGGCTGTTGCATACATAAAATAATGGCCGTTGCATATACACCGTTATGCCCGTAAGCCGCAAGATCCTTGTGAGCTCTTGATCATAGAGTAATTTGTAAACACACACCAGCAGACTGAACATGATTCTCTGTTTCACTGGAAGCCGGTGAAGTTTTTTAGGAGCAGTGTCATGTGGTCGCACTTTCGTGTGATGAGTCTGGCAGCTGTGCTGGGTCCACACTGTATATGTAGCTTGCCAAGATGATTTAGATGCATGGCATGCAATGGACACTGGTCGTGTTCTGATTCAGAAGAGACGCACGGAAGACCTCGAAGACGTTACTCGGCTATAACCAGTATTGCAAGATTGCAAGGTCCTAAGAGGTACCACATCTTGAACCATTGCTAAGACAGACTGTATTCTATTTGAATAAAAAGGAAATGATGTATCACATGACCTCATAAAAGCAATGAAACATTGAAAATAACTGAAATATTGTTTTAACATTAGCATAGCTGTGTAAGGATTTAACCCATATCTCAGACAACCGTCTTATTCAATAATGTTCTTTGCACAAGAAAAAGTAAAAAGTCATAATAAATATTGATGTCTCTTTATCTTGTTCGAAATAGTGAAACGAAAGGAAATATAATATGATGTTATCCGATTTTTCATACCGAGTCCTCAAAACAGTGCAAAAGAAACCAAAGACAAGCTGTACCCATATTGCCTTGAATAACAGTCCTTGAATGAGTTGGGTTTTACGCCGCTTTTAGAAATATTCCAGCAATATCACGGCAGGGGACACCACGAATGGGCTTCACACACTGAACCCATTGGGAATCGAATCCGCGTCTTCGGCGTGACGAGCGAACGCTTTAACCACTTGGCTACCCCAGCGCCTCTTCTAAAATAACACATGTCTGTGACAGGATGTGTCTGTTTAGAAAACACAAATTAAACTTGTGTAATCGTTAAAATAATGATAGAAGTATGCATTACTCTTTGAACTTGCATTTGGGGCACCTTGAGAAAGTAAGAGACTACTGGTCAGAAAACG